CAATTCGATATGCGCGAATATCGACAGTAACCACGACCTTTGGGTTATAAACTTACATTTTAAGTTTCAACAAAATCGGATAAAAATTGTGACCTCTATAGGGTCCACAACCTTGATATACCATATTTTTACGCTATTTGAGAAAGAAAGGTGGCCATTTTATCTGTCAGTTTTGGGCCGATTTTCACGAAATTCGATCTCGGCCGTCCTTAGGGTGTAACGGTGATATAATAATACGATTTTTTAAATCGGATAAAAATTATGACCTCTATAGGGTCCACAAGCTAAAAACGTTATTTTTCGTACAATCAGGGGCCGTAATTCAGGAAGTTACGGTACGATAGGCGCGAATATCGAAAGGAACCGAGATCTTTGGGTTATAAACTTACATTTCAAGTTTAATCAAAATCGGATCAAAATTGTGACCTCTATTGGGTCCACAACCTTGATATACCATAATTTTACGCTATTTGAGAACGAACGGCGCCAGTTTGTCTGTCAGTTTTGGGCCGATTTTCACAAAAATCGAACTCAGCCGTCCTTAGGGTTTAACGGTGATATAATAATACGGTTTTTTTAAATCGGATAAAAATTATGACCTCTATAGGGTCCACAAGCTAAAAACGCGATTTTTCGTACAATCAGGGGCCATAATTCAGGAAGTTACGGTCCGATAGGCGCGAATATCGAAAGGAACCGAGATCTTAGGGTGATAAACCTATATTTCAAGTTTCATTGAAATCGGATAAAAATTGTGACCTGTAGACTGTTCACAAACAATTGTGGACGGACGGACAATATACGTCCACATAAAAATGTGGGCGTATAAAAACTAAAGCGAAACCTGTTCTAATTAATATTAGGAACCTTTAAAATTTATCTTTAGGGGGTCTTAGCATCGAACTTTTACTTTGACCCCGAATATCTCGAAAACGCCACAACGGCGGACTGATTACCACTCGGCATCGTATTCTACGCAAAGTTTTAGTCTAGAAAAGTTGGGCCTGGTTTTGTGCCCATTTGATGGACCCCCAGCACTGAGCCCCCAGCACAGACTATTGTTATATTATCAGTTGCCGAGAAATGGGCGATTTTGCATCGGTCACTTTTCACATTATTTTGCCTGTAAACGAGTTAATTATAGTCCGACTTTCGACTTTTCTTTATCATGTGATTCCTCATGCCACTTTTGACTGAGCGGAACAAATTTCACATTTTTGATATCACCAGACATGGCACCATTTCGGAAAAAATATGAATTTTTAACCTTCAAAACAGATATTTTATTCACATGAGTTTGATTTGTAATGTTTATAAAATTATGATATTTGATTTAAATTAACAAATATAATGAACCCATACCATCATACAGATATCACCAAATGGTTTCTAACTTGTACGGTTTCAGAGAAATCTTCCCTTGTCGAGATATTCCCATTAGAAAGTCAGCTAACACATGTTGGATTTAGTTGATTCTGAGTTAACACGTGTGCAATGCTTATGTGGAGATCTGTTTAACGGTTTCATTGGTACCAGATGTTTAGTATAGTGTAGTTTAAACAATATTTTATTGAAGAACAGGCAAAAGCCTATATAAGTTCTCTCCAAACATAAAACAGTGATTTCTTATGTTTACAATAGACAATGGTGGACATATGTATAGACAGTGAGTTACAAACATAATAAATATACATTTCTTGGAGGCTAATCGTAGGGTATTACATTTTCATTTTAGATTATAAAATTTATATAAGATAAAAAGTATTACATTTTGCAAGTAAAATATTACATGTTAAAGTGCTAAAATCTCTTGTTATCGTTAATGTATTTTTGCACTATGAAAAATATGTTAAAATTGGTATCATCTGAAAGGTCGAGGTTGCCATATAAGATTAGGTTAATTGTAACATTTTGTTTGAGGTGGTGTAAATTACTTTGGAGAATTGTTCTTTGGGCAGAGTAGGCTGGACATATGAAAAAAATTATAGTAATTAGGCTTTCACCTTCGGTGAAAGACTATTGTTATTACTAAGATTATTCTTATTATTAGGCTTTCACCTTCGGTGAAAGGCTATTGTTATTACTAAGATTAATATTATTAGGCTTTCACCTTCGGTGAAAGACTATTGTTATTACTAAGATTAATATTACTAGGCTTTCACCTTCGGTGAAAGACTATTGTTTTTACTAAGATTAATATTATTGTTATTACTAAGATTAATATTATTCTTTTTTTATTGGGGGAAGCTAGATCTCAGCAACTATAAGAGAAAGAGGTTTGAAATTTGATTTTCTGTTGGAAAAGTGGTGTGCAGCTACTGTTTAAAGCTATTTTGAAATTTGTTCGCATACCGGAAGTGACGTTAAATACGAAAAACGAAAACTGGTCATAACTGTGGGAATTCTCAACCGATATTTCCGATAATTACATTTTTGGATAGCTGGTGACATATCTGGGCAGATAGCAGTTCAAAACCGACGAATTTAGAAACTTTGTCGCTTTCATTTATTTGGTGAAAATTGAAAAAATTTCTAAATTTTGGTAAAAATTTTCTTTTTTGGAATTTTTAAATTATGATTACATTTTTAGATAGCTAGCGTCGATCTGATTCCAACGATATAAAAAAATATCTGAAATGTTAACTTTTATTTTTCACTTTTTTTCGCATTTTGGTCAAATCGTACAGTTCTTATTTTTTTAAAACGGCTCCAACGATTTTTCGGAAACCTCAGGAATATGAAGTCGAATGTCTAATCCAGTCCTTAAATTATAAATGAAAACAATTGAAACCCCGGAAATAGTCACGAAATGTATCTGAACTTTGACAAAATTTTGAAAAATGGGTGCCTGTGCGGAAATTGCGATGTATCAATTGTGTTTTTGCTGATTAGTAAAAGTATTCTATCGTTTAATAGCTAACTGAATTGTCTATCAGATGGTACTTCAGCGACAAGTTTCTATCAAAAAATAAAAAAGTTATGTGACTTTGAAAAGTAAGGTATTTTGCGATTTCGAGCAACTTTAGACGCATGTTTCTCGGAAACGCCCCCAACGATTTTTTTAAAACTTTGTCAATTGAGAGACTAATGGGTACTCTGTTGTGTGAAACCACTGTATAATTTTTTGAAATGTCAGGGGTAGCCGAAAACAGAGATCGAAAATCGAAAACGTGGTATTTTTACGATTTGGAGCATTTTTAGAGGTCTATTTCTCGAAAAGTCAACATAATATTTTTTTGGAACTTCTACAGAGAGGCCGATCAGTAGTGTTATATATAAAACCATTGTACAACAGTTCCAAATTTCAGGAGTAGCGGAACAAAGGGATCGAATATTGAACACAGCACCTTTCATTGTTAAGCGAAACGTAAGAGGGGATACAATCTGTACGTTTTGTCAACGTATAGAGCCAATTCAAGAGTGCTTTTATCAGTGATGATATTTGAACTAAAATTATTTCAACTATGAGTGTTTTCATCTATCCAAAATATGGGTTTAGTGACCCTGTAACAGAAATAGTTGATAGCTGTGTGTAATAATTAGTCTTCGAATTAATATTGTTGCTTCTTTGTCAAAATTATCTTATACCGGTAATCATCTGGATAGAAATCGACAGCTCGCGCTGTTTATAAGAAAGTCCAATTTGTTTTGCGGTTGCATAAGTATCGTACAGTAGTATCGAATATTGCACCTGTGATAAAAGGCGTGACGCTGTTTGAGCGTTGACTCTATCTGTAACTAATATTAAATTTTTGTTAGTGACGTCAAATCTTTAACGTACACGAAACCAGAAAATTGGCGATATTTCATTGAATATTCAATCATTTTTTGAACCAGTTACATATTTGAGTCGCTGACATGAACGCGATTCCGAAGTCCTGTGTACACATTGGTGTGACCGTAAAAGATCCCTTGGTGGTTGGAATTCTATATATACTATTCAAAAAAAGTAGGGGATATTTGATTTTTAAGTGTTATTAAAGTCACCTAATGAAACTGACGAAGAAACAAATGACAAAATGAAATGAAGTTCACATTCATCGATTTATTCCAAATGATCGTTAGACTAAGTAAGGCACAGACTGACCATTATAAGGGTAAAATGATACCCGGGGTCAAACAGCAAAGTTACCACAGCATCACAACCAAGTCAGTAACGGGTAAATCCTCCTCTGTTTGCCAAACACGCATTGATCCGACGTGGCATACTCCTAATGAGACGTCTAAGGTCATTTTGGTCCAGATTGTCCCATTCCTGTTGCAACGCAGCAGCAAGTTCTTGGACATTGGCAGGACGTTGTTGACGTTGACGTAACCTCTGTCCAAGCATGTCCCAGACATGCTCGATGGGGGAGAGGTCGGGACTCAGTGCTGGCCAAGGTAATGTGGTGATGTTCTGTTGTTGGAGGTAACCTGTAACGATCCTGGCCCTGTGACATCTTGCGTTGTCATCCTGGAAGATGAAACGGCGGCCATGACGTCGTGCGAACGGCACAACATGGACTGCCAAGATGTTGTCCCGGTAGTACTGGCCTGTAACACGCCCCGCAACAACATGTAAAGCCGTTCTTCCAGCAACAGTGATGCCTCCCCACACCATAACAGAACCACCCCCAAATCGATCATGTCTGATGACGTTAACGTCTTGGAAGCGCTCGTTTCGACGACGCCACACCCTCCTACGTCTGTCCAAAAAATCAACAGTGAACCTTGACTCATCTGAAAACATCACATTGCTCCAGCGTCGATTATCCCAGTGTTGACACGATTTCTCAAGGCCAAGGTACGGATAAACAATGGATGAAAGTGAACAAACTAAAATTGAACGACGATAAAACAGAGGCTCTTTTAGTAGGTTCATCACAACAAGTATAATTTATAGCACAAGTTTTATGAATTAAATTATTGGAGTCACGAGGGGGCGTAGCCCCCGAGTGTCTTCAATAATTTAACGAATAAACGTGCTATAAAATACTTGTAACATATTGATTGACAAGTGAGTTGTTCTTAAAAACTACACGTGCATAACGAGCGGCGAACATATTAAAATAGGTCATCAACACCTGTATACATCAGTTGATATATTTCAATTCGCGACGTACAGACGCAATGTCGCATTGTTTATTTAGTGATAACGACGATGAAGATATTATTCTTTCACAAAATTTAGACGATATAGAAAAGGAATTAGCAGTGATAAATAATATTGAGAACGACGATGATGATATTATTCTTTCACAAATTTTAGACAATATAGAAAAGGAATTAGCAGAGAAAAATAATATTGAGAAAGATGTGGATTACGGCGAATTGAACCTTATTTCTACTGCAGAGGAATTTGTTAAAGCAGAGATGGAGAAAGAATCTGATTATGGTGAATTTAACCTAATTTCTACAGCCGAGGAACACGTTAAAGAGGAAGTGAAATCGGTTGTGGTTGAAAGGTTTCAAACGCCAGTATCTCAGGTTGAAATAGACACTTTAATACATTCACAAACAAACGCTAATACCAGAAAGAATACTAAATGGTCACTAAATATATTCAATGAATGGCGGAAATGTCGATCGAAGGGCGATAATGATATACCTGAATTGCAAGATATGACAGCAGAAGAATTAGATTATTGGTTACAGCGATTTCTTGTAGAATTGCGTAAAATGAACGGAGATGAGTATTCCCCTAAATCAGTTTATTATATCATTTGTAGGCTTATGAGACACTTGAAGGACCATAATATTTACATTAACATTCTAGAGGAAGCTGATAAACGTTTTGTGTTAACCAGAAAGGTGTTAGATGCCAAGATGAAGGAATTAGTAAGCAAAGGAGTCGGTTGTAAACCGAAAACCGCTGACCCCGTATCAAACGAAGATGAGGATAAGTTGTGGAATTCTGGTGTCTTTGGTTTTACCAACTCAACGAGTTTACAGTACACAGTATTTTTTTACGCATGTAAACTGTTTGGACTACGAGGAAGAGATGAGCACCGCCATTTAGAAGCTGACCAGTTTGAATTGGGTAATGATAAAAATGGTTACTACATACGATACATAGGAAGAAACAACAAAACATTTACTGGTGGTCTAGCCCATTTGAAGTTAAAGAACAAAGATATAAAGCACTATTGCACTAATTACGGAGGTGAGTTCTAAAATCTGTATAATAAAATAATCAAAGTAATCATACACCACAAGGTTATGTATCCTTATCAAAGTGTAGCCTGTAGAAATGTTAAAGGGATAATATGCGAGATTTTTGACAAAATTACTCATTCTGACTTTTATGGCCTTTTTAGTCACATTATGAAATTTGTATGCTGTCTGACAATTGGTATCCTTTCTTATATGGGGGCCCGGTGTGGCCGAGTGGTTAGGACGCTTGTCGCTCATGCTGGGGGGTCCCGGGTTCGCATCCCGGCGAGGCCGAGGTCAACCTTGTGGATTTTTCCGACTGGGTTCCTCCTTGTCAGGTGAGGGCTGACATGGAAAAGCGTTCTAGTTCATCTGAGACGACGATAAACGGAGTCCCGTGTTCATTCGATCGAGCACGTTAAAGACACCTCGGCAGTTAAAAATCGGTTGTAAGAGTAGGCCATGTGCCGCTGCCTTGGCAAAATTCACCCTCATTGTACACACTTGGCATATGCCCGTCTCTAATTAGCCTTACAGTGCATAAAAATGGGACGTTAAACTCCATTTCATTTCATTTCATTTATTTCTTATATTTGTGTATTTTAGGTCAAAGATGTTTGTATACAGTATTTAAAACCTATTTAGACGCGATAGAATCTGGAATTTTTTATAGAAAGCCATTACAGAATGGCATAAGATACGGAAAGCAGCCTGTTGGGATAAATAAATTAGGTAATTTCATGAAAGAAATGTGTCAACAAGCTGGTTTAGTCGGATATTACACTAACCACTCCGGTAAGAAGACCTGTGCCACTGAAATGTACCGCAATGGACAAGATGAACAATCCATCATGGAACGCACAGGTCATAGATCTGTCGAGGCGTGTAGGGTTTACAAAATTAAATCCGACGAAATGCAGAAACAGATTTCAAGTGTCTTAGAGGCGCCAATAAGTGCTAAAGAAAATAGCGAACCTGTTTCTAAAAAAGCGAAAATTTCGGCTTCCTCACCCCCACTGAAGGACACACGTTTTAACGAAATTATCAACACTTGCGGACCAGTACATTTCAATAATTGTAAATTTACTTTTATGTAATAAAATACTGTTTATGAGGTGTTGAAAAAAACACTGTTTTGGAGTTCATTTATTTTGAAAAGTTGTCACCTTGAGTTAACAAGGTTTGACTTCAAGCCAAGTAAAACTGGGCGGGACCTTGATGCTTTGCCAAGACACTCCCAAAAAATGGCCACCGTGCAACAACTAGTGAAATTTCGAAGTTGTAGCACACCTAAGCCCCTCCCCATGAAAACTAATGATTGTAGCATGGGTATGAATAAGAAAAAATCTACTGTATATGTTACAACTCAAGTTACTACCTGATCTTAAAATCACCATTGGTAATTCAGAAATAAATTTCTCCAAAAATGTTCGAAACCTTGGAGTGATATTTGATCCTTCTCTGACAATGGACGCTCAGGTTGATATGGTATGCCGTACATGCTACTATCATCTACGCTGTATATGCAACATCAGAAACTATCTCACTGCTGACGCTTGTAAACTACTTGTGAGATCACTTATTTTATCAAGGATTGATGATTGTAATAGTTTACTCTATGGAATCCCACAAGCATTTCTAGCCAAGATCCAAAAGGTTCTTAATACTGCAGCCCGAATAGTAACAAGGACACATAAGTTTGATCACATCCAGAATGTGCTGGCTTCTTTACATTGGTTACCTGCTGAGGCGCGAGTCAAATACAAAATACTAACATTAGTGTATAAATGTCGCAATAATGCAGCTCCTCAATACTTATCTGAACTCTTATATGACTACAACCCTATTAGATCACTTCGCTCTCAAAATAAACAGTCACTAGTTGTTCCAAGATATAATTTGAAGTCATATGGGTATAGGTCTTTCAGTTCAGCTGGTCCTAGATTATGGAACGAACTTCCACAACAGATCAAGAATCAACAAACTTTTAATCAATTTAAATCCGCACTAAAGACTTTCCTGTTTCAACAGTTTTACTAGTAGAGCCATTACAAAAAGCGTTTTGAGCATGTGTCAACATGGAGAAGACGCTATATAAAACTTCATTATTATTATTATTATTATCCTGGGCTTGAGTTGTCGCCCTTGGTCGACCTGAGCGTGGTCTGTCCTGTACAGATTGTGTATCACGGTATCTGGACCATAGCCTGCTTATGACAGACTGAGAAACATTATCGTCCGCGCCACAACCGCCTGTGTTGTGCCGATCTGTAGCATGCCAAGGGCACGTAACCTTTCATTTTGGGTAAGCCGACGCATATCAAAATTTGTTTTCTGGTCACTAAAACAATTAAACTGATGTTTCCACCCTGGAATTCAATGCCACAATGACTGTAACATTCAAAGTCAGAGTCGTGCAAATCTTGGGTTGGACCCCCATGATGATCCCAAGCATCACCTGCATTCCATGCGGTAGCTATTGGTGCGTTTGGGCGTAACATGTAACTGGAAATGTTTCTTCTGTTAGGTTCTATGGTGACTTTTTTCGTAGTCATTTGCATATTTTAGTATTATGCCCCCAAAATCAAAAAATATCCCCTACTTTTTTTGAATAGTATAAAAGAAGACTAGCGCCGCTGTACGAGCATGTTTAGAGGTCTTTTTTTCAAAAAGGCAATCTAATATTTTTTGGGCAACTCCTTCTATAGAGAGACTTTGGGGGCATAATACTAAAATATGCAAATGACTACGAAAAAAGTCACTATAGAACCTAACAGAAGAAACATTTCCAGTTACATGTGACGCCCAAACGCACCAATAGCTACCGCATGGAATGCAGGTGATGCTTGGGATCATCATGGGGGTCCAACCCAAGATTTGCACGACTCTGACTTTGAATGTTATAGTCATTGTGGAATTGAATTCCAGGGTGGAAACATCGGTTTAATGGTTTTAGTGACCAGAAAACAAATTTTGATATGCGTCGGCTTACCCAAAATGAAAGGTTACGTGCCCTTGGCATGCTACAGATCGGCACAACACAGGCGGTTGTGGCGCGGACGATGAATGTTTCACAGTCTGTCATAAGCAGGCTATGGTCCAGATACCGTGATACACAATCTGTACAGGACAGACCACGCTCAGGTCGACCAAGGGCGACAACTCAAGCCCAGGATCGATTTATCCGTACCTTGGCCTTGAGAAATCGTGTCATCACAGCAAATCAGATCAGCGCTCGTCTTCAAACAGACACTGGTGTGAGAGTGAGTGGCCAGACGATTCGGAATCGACTGCATAGGGGTCACCTTCGCGCCCGACGTCCTCGCGTGATCCCTTGTTTGAGAGATCATCACATTCAGGCAAGACGTCGTTGGTGTAGGGATCGTCAACACTGGGATAATCGACGCTGGAGCAATGTGATGTTTTCAGATGAGTCAAGGTTCACTGTTGATTTTTTGGACAGACGTAGGAGGGTGTGGCGTCGTCGAAACGAGCGCTTCCAAGACGTTAACGTCATCAGACATGATCGATTTGGGGGTGGTTCTGTTATGGTGTGGGGAGGCATCACTGTTGCTGGAAGAACGGCTTTACATGTTGTTGCAGGGCGTGTTACAGGCCAGTACTACCGGGACAACATCTTGGCAGTCCATGTTGTGCCGTTCGCACGACGTCATGGCCGCCGTTTCATCTTCCAGGATGATCGCAAGATGTCACAGGGCCAGGATCGTTACAGGTTACCTCCAACAACAGAACATCACCACATTACCTTGGAAAGCACTGAGTCCCGACCTCTCCCCCATCGAGCATGTCTGGGACATGCTTGGACAGAGGTTACGTCAACGTCAACAACGTCCTGCCAATGTCCAAGAACTTGCTGCTGCGTTGCAACAGGAATGGGACAATCTGGACCAAAATGACCTTAGACGTCTCATTAGGAGTATGCCACGTCGGATCAATGCTTGTTTGGCAAACAGAGGAGGATTTACCCGTTACTGACTTGGTTGTGATGCTGTGGTAACTTTGCTGTTTGACCCCGGGTATCATTTTACCCTTATAATGGTCAGTCTGTGCCTTACTTAGTCTAACGATCATTTGGAATAAATCGATGAATGTGAACTTCATTTCATTTTGTCATTTGTTTCTTCGTCAGTTTCATTAGGTGACTTTAATAACACTTAAAAATCAAATATCCCCTACTTTTTTGGAATAGTATATTTGAACTGAAATTATTTCAACTATGAGTGTTTTCTTCTTTCCAAAATACGGGTTTAGTGACCCTGTAACAGAAATAGTTGATTGCTGTGTGTAATAATTAGGCTTTGAATTAATATTGTTGCTTCTGTGTCAAAATTATCTTATACCGGTAATCATCTGGACAGAAATCGACGACTCGCGCTGTTTATAAGAAAGTCCAATTTATTAAGCGTTTGCAGTAGTATCGAATATTGCACCTGTGATAAAAGGCATGACGTTGTTTGAGCATGGACTCTATCTGTAATTAATACTGAATTTTAATTAGTGACGTCAAATCTTTAACGTGCACGAAACAAGAAAATATTCAATCAATTTTTGAACCAGTTACATATTTGAGTAGCTGACATGAACGCGATTCCAAAGTCTCGTGTACACATTGGTGTGACCGTAAAAGATCCCTTGGCGGTTGGAATTCTATATAAAAGAAGACTAGCGCCGCTGTACGAGCATGTTTAGAGATCATTTCGGGACTAACATATGGTTTACTTTTTTTATTTCAATACTTCGCTTGCGCGTAGGGGTCTTTAGCAGTTGGAGGAAACCGGAGATAACCCACGGGGTTGGACAGGCTTGTCACTTTCAACCGGGGAATCGAAACCTAGCCAGTTGACTCAATGACAGACCGTATTATACAGCGCAGTACCAAGGGCTGTAGCCTACCGTGCAAATTCCAGCCAGCATAATGTATCGATATAAGAAACATTTATTCCTACTGGCGATTTACAAATATTGCATGAAGAAATTCAAATCATAAGAACATAAACACGACTAATGCACAGTATCATATTGATTATAAAAGTATAATGTATATATTGGTTATACTATATATGTCACAAAACAACAATCATTAGATAATAATAATTATTTACTAATTATATAAATCATTTAAGAGGTAGGAGTTATCCATTGTTTAATTTAACAGTTATATAATTACCCTGGTTAGAGAGAGAGAGAGAGAAATGGGGTTTAACGTCCACTCGACACAAACTAGGTCATTTCGGGACTAACATATGGTTTAATTTTATTTCTATAATTCGCTTCCGCGTAGGGGTCTTTAGCAGTGGGAGGAAACCGGAGGACCCGGAGATAAACCCACGAGGTTGGACAGGCGACCCTACTCCTTGTCACGTACAACCGGGGATTCGAAACCACGCCAGTCGACTCAATGACAGACTTTATGATACAATGCGCTCACGCTAACCACTCAGCCATCCAACCCCCCACCCTGGTTAGAAAGGTATGAACAATTAGAGAGAGAGAGAGAGAAATGTGGTTTAACGTCCACTTGACATAAACAAGGTCATTTCGGGACTAACATATGGTTTAATTTTATTTCAATAATTCCCTTGCGCGTAGGGGTCTTTGTTGGTGGGAGGAAACCGGAGGACCCGGAGAAAACCACGAGGTTGGACAGGCGACCCTACTCCTTGTCACGTACAACCGGGAATTCGAAACCACGCCAGTCGACTCAATGACAGACTTTATGATACAGCGCGCGAGCGTGTTACCCCCCCCCCCCCCCCGGTATGAAACCACCGTACATCGGTCAAAAGTATCAAGAGTGGCCAAACAAATGGCACTGTATATCGACAAAAGTCCGATAGGGTCATAATCGGAACGTTCTGCATACGTATAATATGGAGAGCTATTTTTCTAAGTGGCAATATTTGAACTAAGGGTGTTCTACTGTTAACCAATATCTGGCACTGGTGATTCTAGAGTGAAAATATTTCATATCAGTAAAAAACAGTTGCTCCTGAAATTAATATCCCAGT